TAGAAGTAGAGTTTTCCTGGAAAAGGGACTGTCGTGTTCCTGACTTCTATGGCTTCAGCAAGCCAATGGGTCTTATTTTCCAACTGGGAAAAACAGGCCTTTCTCATCACGTCCCAGAAACAAGCTGTGAGTGCCAGGGCTGTGGGTGTCGTGCTTCCTTCTGTGGCAGTGTCCCTTGACAAGGTTCAGCCCTGCATGCTCCCTTTGCTCAGCATGGCCTTGCAAGGAAAGCAGGCATGTTTTTGTGGGCAGATCAAGATTGTACCTCTTTTTACTGCTGCTAATAAGGATCTTTGTACAATTCTCCTGGAGTGACATGAGGCATAACATGACAGTGGAAATTGCCCTCGTGGCAATATGTGTGAAGGTCTTTCCAGTTAATTAAAAATGTGAGTTCTGCTCTGGAAATCCACTGTAAAAAGAATTAAAAGCACATTGTAATCAGTAGCTTGGTTTCCCTGTCTCTGTGGGGTGAGTATTGCTGACTCTTTGAAGGCAGACAGCAGCTCATGTTTTAAAGCTACTTTTGGCTTCATGGGCTTTGGAGAGTGAGGACAACTCTGGATAAAAGTCTTGGTGATGGGTCAGTATAGAAACCTCACAGGAACAATGGGGCAGAACCACTGCCACTAGTGCCACAAGATGCAGTGAGACACCATCTCACTTCAGTTTGGTTGGTACCCTGGGCACAGCCTAGGAGTACAGCTTCACCTTGCAGCAACTCACAAACATTTTGTCCATATTTCCATTCTCTGCGCACTCCCTGCCTACCCACCTGCCCACTGTCCTTCCTGCCCTTGCCAGGTTCTGCGCACAGTGAGCTGCATGGTTTGCCACACTGGTTATCTGCACTGGCAACATGATAAATGCTTTTCCACTGAATTTTTCCTTAGTTTTAGTCACTCATATTGGCTTGAGGCACAGTCAGAATAATGGCAGGGCATTGGTTTAACTCAGCTTTTGCAGTGTAGTGGCAGTAGTCACCTGCAGTGCCAGTGCCAAGTGTGTCAGTACAGTGGGAGCCCTGCAAACCTTGCTGCCAGCATGGCCAGGATGTTACCACATTGTATTGCTGTGGAATTGTGGGGCTGTGGGTGTCTCCCAAGGCCATTCGCCTCATGCCACACAGTACTACCACAAGGAGGTAGCAGAAGCACCTTCACAAATGGCTGATAGTCCCTCAGCTGTTCTAGGGGATGAGTTTAGGATTGCAGGAATTAGGCACCCAAGGGGGAGTCAGTGCAGGTTGCACTTACTCCATCTGAACCATAAAACCTTGCCTCTAAAGGCAGCCACCACTGCAGAAGGACACTGGTAGCAAAACTACCCCTTCCTCATCCTCCCCATCCAGCATGTGAAAACTGCCTGACTCCAATTCCGACAATTTAACATATGGATCAAAGTACAGGGAGCAGCCACAACAGAAATACCAACAGCAAAACACCAAGACAAAACAATGCCTGGTGTTGTGATACCCTACACAACCCAGTATAAACTGTAGTCCACAGGCGTGTCCCACTGGGGGCAGTTCCCTTTTCTTATCCTTGGCTATGTGTTGTCTTTGTAGCACAGTTTTTTGAAGCTAAGAAAAACTTCTAAGCTGGAATTGGCTAAACCACCATATAGCACAGAATGAAAATGATTAGTGAAACAAAAGGGAAAGTGCAAGGAGGATATAGAGTCCTTCCATACAAAGCCTCTTGTCTTCCTATGGGATCCATTATAATCCAGAGGGCCCCAAATTTAAACTAATCCGTTTCTGCCTTTATTTATTTTTTCTCGACTCAATTTCCTACATGAACTGGCCAGTTATGTCAAATATTTTTCTTTCTTTCAAGCTGACTTGCTGTCAGCTGAATGCAATGCCCTGTGAAAACACCTGCTGACCTGCTGTATACACATATACACAGCACACATCTCTGCTGTCTGCGTCTATATATCTGTGTCATCTATATGTATCTATAGAATATATGTCTGCTTATCTATATACCTATAGATCTCTTTTTCTTGCATTTAGAGCAGGACCCTCAGGTTGCAAATTCCTCATCTCTGCAAAATACACTTTCAAGCTTCCCTCTCTTTTGGGAAAGGCAGCTGCCTCACTGCCTCTAGTTCAGACTGCTCTGGCTTGCTCTGCTGGCAGGAATGGACTTATTCCTGGGGGAATGAACTGATCAGGTTCACTAATGGTCAGGCTCTGGTGGTATTTTCTTACCTAACACAATCAGAACACGCGTCTTAAATATTTTATCAGCTTCGCTGGGTCATTCTCATACTGTGGCATTGTATTGCTGGAGAATAGAGGCTGGAGGAAAAATACTGCTCAAGAATGCTGCAGAAAAAGAGTTTTAAGCACATGGCAGCACTAATGCCCTCTTAGAGCCACTAAAACAAATGTCTCTGTTGTTGCACAGCAGCTCAGAGGCAAAAAAAAAAAAAAAAAAAAAAAAAAAAAAAAAAGAAAATAGGGCAATTGCAATAACAAAGAAGACTAAAGAATTGAGCAAATAGTCCCAGACTATAAGTTGTTGGCTCTGACCTAAATGGTAGTTTTGGTCCTGGTTTAACTCTGATCCCTTCTTTCTGATCTTTGATTAATTGTTTGATTCCATAGAAAAAAGTTCTCAGTAAATTTTTGTGATTTATCTTGTGCCTGTTCCCTGTGGGTAAGCCCACAAATGCCTGTGAGTAAAGCCAAGTCTGTGTAACTGGTTAATTCTGGGGGTAGGCCCAGAGCTGGAGTATCCTGTAGTAGGCCCTCAGCAGCCAGTGGCTGTTGTGGAGAAGAAAACATCCATTGCTTGCTTCCAACTGGAAAGTGACTCCAGGTGGGCAGGGAAAGCTGAGAGGTAGGTCTGTCCTGCAAGCCTTTGCTAGAGCTGTGGGTAAAAAGTGTTGCTAATGAGGGGACCTAACCAACCACATAATTTCTGAGCCTGTTCCCAAGGGCTGCATGTGGGGAGATTCTCCAAAAGGAGGTCAGATATGCTTTGTCTGTTTTTTGCTGAGAGTTAGAGTGATAGTGAAGATCTTTGCATCCTTGCAGGTCCAGTGTTCCCTCTATCGCACTATTTGTAAACTTTTTATAACAAAAAAGCACTCATGTCTGCCATGTTTTTCCATCCAAGGGTTTCTCTAGCACCAGTTCAATTCCAATTTCTCAGCTCTTGTGTCTGTTTACATCTGGACTCATGGGAGTTCACCACCCTCCCCTATCTGCACACACCTTCTTTTGGGAGGTGTTTGCTTTCTCCAAATTGCTGTTGTTGCGCTGCTATTCTGCCTTGGTTTTTGCCAATGTCCTTGGGTACCTATGGTGTCCTCTGTGCTTGCTTATGTGAACTCGCTGCTACACTGCCATTAGTTTTGAATGCCCTTAGAGCAAGTGGGTTGCATCCTGGGTTCAGGAAAAAGCTGGGACATGTTGAGGAGCTAAGTGAGTCCAGCCATAACACAAGAGGCTGGTGTGGCAGAGGGAAGGAATCTCTCTTGAAACACCGCTGCTCTGACCAGTATAACCTGGGGCAACCTTCTTGCTGATGCAGAGTATGCTCAGATTAGTCTAGTTCTGGCTGCATCCCTGGAAAGGAGAAGAGTGTGTGCTTACACTGATTCATTTTCTTGCTAATAATAACTTTGTTATGATGTCCAGAGTAGCCTGGAGAGAGCAATAGTAGCAGTGGATTGCTTGGAAGAAGAACAAATACTATGATCAGGTTTGGGAAACCATGAATCAGCTGTAAAGAGCAGTGTTACCTCAGCCTGAATACATCTTGCTTAGCTCATGCTGTCAGGTGTAAATATAACTGTGTGGACAATAAAGTTATCCTGTGATATGTCTTCATGAGAGGCACCTATTTTTACAGATATGATGATCCTCTTTCAGTATTTGGTGCCAGAGCAAGAGCCCTGCTTTATAAATACATGTAAGCAGTGGCATGACATCCCTGCTTTAAAGGCAATGCAGGAGTATATGACCTCAGAAAAGGATCCAGCTAATGCCATGCCTTTATGTTTGGGGAAAACATCTGCTGTACCCCTTTAAAGAGGGAGCCATGTGCACCCACTGCCCCATCTTCCAGCTTTTACAAGGGGAGGGTGAGAACAGGGGCATGGCTCTGCATTTTTCCTACCCATTTTAGGAGGGTGAATGCTCTTGGCCAGATTTAGCCTTTTAAAAACTAGGGGGGAGAGCAGCAGAAGCTGTGCCTGTGCCAGGGCCCCCAAGGGAGCAGTACGGTCACACCGCATGGGGCCGATATCCTGCAGTGTGACACCAGCACAGAGCGCTTGCAGGCAGGCTGGTCCTTGTCACTGAGGCTGCACCACTTGGGTCAGGCTCTCGCTCTGGGACTGCCAGCAAGACATCAAGTTGCATTAATCTACAGCTAATCTAATTCCCACTGGAGAGATGGGTTCGTCCCAGCTAACTTTAGATTACAGTTTGTGCATTATTGTGCCAAGGTCTGTATTGGACCAATTTATAGTGAGAAATGAGGTTGGCAAGATAACAGGGGCATCACAATTAGAGCTAATTAGCCCAGCAGGAAATCCATTTCCAGGCAGCTTTTGGCAAGACGAGAGGTTGGCGGGATAAAAAGCATGGAGTGTATTTTGATACAAGCACACTCCAGCTGCAAGGAAAAGTAAAGTAACAGCTTGTCTCATCCTTATGCAGAGGCCTCATGTCAGGCTCCACCACGTAAGTCTTTTTTTTTGAGGCTTTGCAGCCTCCCTGCTTGGAAGAAGTTCAGAGAACTTGTTCTTACCAAGTCACCTCGGCTGCCGGAGGACAATGGTGAGCCGCAAGGTCTGCACAGTGCCTTGCTCCTGCTGCCAGACAGCAGTGTGCCCTGAACTGTGCTGCTCCTCCAGTCTGGAGGGAGAGGAGGGGCTGTAGGTCATAATAGAAATCAGTGAAGAGTAACTCGGTTTAACTGCAGGAGTTACACTTACGGTAAAATGTCTGGACTATAAATACAGACAAACTTTTGGAATTATTTGTATTTGAGTGCTTTATTATATTGGAATTGCAGTGATATTATTAACATTTGTACAAATGCACAAAAATCCTTTCTCTTCTAGCTAGAAAGAGATGTAAAAATCTGACCTAGTTGAACAGTCTCAATGAACTCATTGTCCATTTGTAACAATAATGGGTTCACAATGCAATAAAAAGCTTAACATAAAATTAAACATATTAAATGCTGCAGCAAGTATTTACATTTATGTACCAAAAAAAAAAGTATCTCCCTCCAGTAAGGAAGGTGGTTGCTTTACAGAATAAAACAGACATACAAACACAAAACCTTTGCATACAATACAAACAACCTCAAGCCCAAAACTTACTGTGACAGCACCTTTTTTTTAATATAATATATATATATATATATTTATATATAAACTTCGATAGTTTAGGCTTACTCCAAGCAGTGCTAAAAGTTCCTTAAAACCAGGACAATGGCAATAGTCCAAAGAAGCAATGTTCACTGATGAGTGCTACCCAGTGTTTGAAGAGAGCTGCTACAGAGAGAGGGATACAGAGCTCACGGCCATGGGCTGGGGAACACTTGGGTCCCAATGGTAAAACCCTTGGCAAAACTCTCAGGGCAATTGTTCTTACTCAGAAGAGCAAATACACCTTTCGTGCAAAGTAGTTTGTCTTGTGGAAGCATGCTAAAGGTGATGTCAGGGAACTCCTTGCAATGTCAGCACTGTGGGGTGGGGAAAATATTTCTCTGAAATTTCCTAGATTCCAGCAAGGAAGGCATTTCCCTTGAAATGCCAAATCAGTTCTCCCACCTCCCTCACCCCAGGATACTGCTGCAGTTTCTGCAAAGCTGGAAGGAGCTTTCAGTCTTCATTGAGAAGGCTGTCATGCAGATTTTCAGTCAAGAAAGATATTTGGGCCTAAGACCCTCACGGCATCAAATAGCTGGCTCTGACCATGGGCTTTTTGAGCAGTTCCACCAGGTGAAACTCAGCAAGTCTAACATTTAACTTGCATAATTGTAGAACTGGAGATCCTGAATCCCAGGTATTACACATAGGTCTAAATATAACGAGTTGCAGTTATTGATTCCAGTCCAAGGAGAGCCTGGGAAAGGATCAGATTTCCACTTAAAGAATCAATCTTGTCTCTGAGTGTGTGTGAACACTGACATTTTTGGCCTCATGCAGTTTAGGATTTGCTATAAAGTCATTTTGAAAGCTATAGAAAACCAATAATGGTGAGCAATTTAGCTCTTAAGCATAAAGCCACTGATGAAACTGAGATAACTGTAAGCTCTGGGAAAAAAAAAAAAAAAAAAAAAAAAAAAAACAAAAAAAAAAACCTAAAAAGAAGTTATGGATGTAAACAGTCTCTTTGTCTATGCAGCAAGGTGATGGTTTCAGATGTTGAAAAATTGAATTTTTTTTGGTGTTCAAATCGCTTGAGATTTTATTGCTTTTATTTGTTCTTAGAAGCTTTTCGTCTCTTCTATTTTTTCTTTTTAAAGGTGCTGTCCCTAGTCAAGTTATAAGGCAACATATTTTATTGATTCAGAACTCTAATACATAGTATGGCCACTGTTACCACTGCAGCTTTGCAGCTACTGTGAGTTGGACAACAGTCAAAGTGCCTCACAATGCACAACAGAGCCAGTCTCCTGACCTTACGATATACAGGACACTTTGGTTCTTGGGATGAGAGATTAAAATGTAGCTTAGATGCCGCCTCACATCACACACATTGCATAATAAAACATTTATATGCTGTCATGAAGAGGGTGTAAAGTCTAAGTCACACTGCAGACTGGCTGGTCTCAGCTTCTCTGCTTGGGCAGGTGTGAGAGACAAGTTGTAGATATGCCACCAGTGAAAGCATATAAATGTATCTGGTGCAAAACTTTTACAAGAGTGTTTATAAATGATTCAACAAGGGAGAGCAAGAAAGACAGCAAGAGCTAAAGTGCAATTTTAAAAGAATATAAATAATTGAAATGTAGAAATAAGATACTAATTAGTTGTAACTGGTTTTGTTTTATAGGCACAGTTTAGGTTTTATGTCTACAGATTTTTTTTTTTTCTCTTCTTCCCCCTCTAGTAATTTTCATTGATGTATAATGGAGCTTTGATGGTCTAAATCTAAGGAACACTGCTTAGTAAGAGGACTGAAGAGGCAATGATAAGGCAGTATAGTGCAACTCACTATGTGATATTAGATGAGAAATGAGGATGGGGTTAGATCTTCTGTGGTGATGTATAAAATCAGCCCTAAAAAAAAAGCAGAAAAAAAGAGACAGGCTTTCCAGTTATATGTTGACTCATGCTTTCTCAAACGAGAAAGCACATTTTGAAATACAAAGGAAACAACTGAAGGTTTATAATTTGTTTCATTGTTAAAAAAAAAAAAAAAAAAAGAAAAAGCAGATGCTGCTTTAAGGAAAACATTTAATTCTAGAAATTTCTGTACAACTGACCTCAGCAGCAAACTGTTCCATCTTAGATGGATGACTTCTGCTTGAGACCCTGAAAGATTAAGATGCACACACACCTAGAGTAGTTTATTGCAAAACTAATATCGTAACTTAAAAAAAAAAAAAACAGATTCTGTACAAGAATACTGTTCAAATGGAATGTGTTAAAATAACATTTATTAATAAATACTTTATAAAATTCTATGTGAATACTAAATTAATAGATTCCTGTTTTAAAATTGCTTTGGTCCTCATGAATTTTCATAAATTCACTCTATACGCTTTTTTTTTAAAAAAGGTATTAGCTGCTAAAAAGCACATTTTGCCTAAACTAAAAGGCTAGTTTTCAACACTAAATATTGTTGCTTAAAAAAATATGAATCCTTAAAAGTTGGGCATTTAACAACAGTTACAGCTGGCTTGTTAGTTAACAGGACTGAGTAATTAACACTAAATCCACACGCACTGAGGCACTGAACCATTGACTTTCCACTATTCAGAATATGGGCAGCAGACATTTAGCTTCATAGCAGGAATTAACTCCCAACAGCATGAAATTCTCCATAAATCATCATCATTGTTGTTGTCATAAAACACACCATGATAGCACACAAACTACTTGTCTCCCACAGGCAGCGTTATGAATATGGCTTGCATAAATTGACTTGGGGAAGGGGGGCTGGGGGTGCCAGAGCTGGATCGCAGCATCATTTCTTTGTGATCAAAGTATTGCAGTTCTCCATGGCTGAGATTTCCAACCTGCTTCCAACGTCACACCCACAAGATGCTGTCTATGGTATGGTAACACCTCTTCCTGAACAAGGCACTGGCCAAGGCTCACCATCCTGCAAGCGCCCTAGGGAGTGGATGATGGAAGTGATCAGAGTTGTCCTCTGCTGGCAGTGGGTTAGGGCACAGAGCCTAGTGAGCCCAGCAACAGGCTGGACTGGCAGGGCAAGAGGAAAGTGCAGCAGTCTCCAGAAGTAGTTTGTGGAAAAGCAGGATTCCTCCTTGATGGAAAGAGCCCAGGAAGTGCATTTAGAGTGACATGCTTAGGAAGAGGCTGCTGCCACTGACCACATGGCAGAGGGACATCCTGGAGACAGAGGGCTGGGGCTTCTCAGCCCTCTTCACAGCCCTTGCTCAGGCAGCCTCCAGTGCCTGGTTGGACCAGCAGCCTGAGGAAAGGCTGCAGGATAACTCCCCTGGAAAACAAGAGCATTTTAATGTGGAACAAATCTGATGAATAATATAAGGTGCCTGGTATGGTTGGTCCTTTTCCCAATGATACAGCCAATACAAATATGCTGCATGTTATCTTGGCCTGTGAACTTGCGGCAGAGTTACAAGAAGCAATAGCAAATAGCTTTTCATCCTTTACTTATTTCCATATCACTAGCAAGGATTATACCTAAAGGCCAATAGTATAGAGAGGAGACATTTCATTGTAATTACACATTTAGGCCAACATGTGTGGTTGGCTTGCCTAGTTAGCATTAAAAAAAGAAATAATTGAGCTATATATAATACACATCAGTCAAACTGTCAAGTTGCTGAATTTAACAAAACTTAGGCAAGGTTTTTGTATTTCTTCTTTTTTTTTTTTTTCTTTTTAATGTAGAGGCTTTCATTTTAACAGCTAAATATTTTAATTGAGGAGACTGAATAAAATGAAGCTAAACCGTAATTCTAGTGCAGTGTAGCTCAACTGGGTATTCTAATATTACCAACAACTTTGATTTTAATTTTTTAAATGTATTTAAGTGCTACCCATATAGAGGTAAAGTTTTATAAATTAACCTTGCAATGGCATTTCCTTTTTGATGGTGGATGATGAAATTCAGATGTGGGGGAAATGCTTATTTGGGTTTTTTACATAGTGGATATTCAGCTGGAACATTTTTCTCGACAGCATATTTGAAAAAAGTTCTCTTGGGAGCCATGATGAAGCAAAACCATTTAGCTATTACAACTGGAGATTTAAAAAAATTATAGATTCAATATTTAAAACACTTTAAAAGTATATGTTTGTCTAAAATATAATAGAAAATCCTTTACATTTGTATTTTTTCATAATTTTTTTTTGGTTCTTAGACTATATAATCAAGTCAAGATTTACACTGTACATTAAAAATCTTCTTTTGAATGTATTTGCATAAATGGAAAGCGAGCTGTTAAAGAAAAGGATACTGATAAAAAGTTAGTCACCAAGATAAGAACTAATTCGGCAATGAATGATGCTCAGAAATTTGCTTTCCCTTCAAGGCAAGCCCTGCTCCTTACAGAGCCTTCTCACACTTCAGTTGTTTCAGTCTCCCTCCTGCATGGAGGAGTCCCACCCTTTTAAAACCCATGACTTCTCCAAAGACCAAGCACACAGTCTTTGAGGAAGAGAGCTTTGCTTCAGAACAAAGTGTGTTTGGGGCTAGAGGATTTTCTGGGAATAAAGTGAATTTTGCTATTGAAGATGCAGCTCAACATGTTTGAACATTTTTCACCAGCTTGGACCCTGCTCCCTGAGCAAGTAGTGGGAGGTTTTGCCTCTGACAGATTTGAGAGCAAAATCAGGTCCCAGCATACAGCAAGGCAGCATAATTAACTGGCATCATCTCTGTCTGATTTTCCCATCAATCACTGGGACCACTTGGGGATGCAAATCAGTTGTGCTGAGGGGCAGGCTCAGAGTCCAAACAAAAACCTTAATTGTAGCATAAGGCTCTTTTCCAGACCCTCTCTGCAGGACTGTATTTTATCCCAAGTGTGGGACTTGGCATTCTTGAAGCATTTTTTAGCCACTGCGTGCCTTCTAAAAATTATTTAGCGTCCAAAAGAACAATTCCTTACCCATGGTAAGCGGGTGTTAAGTGCCATTAAAGTCAGTGAAGCTACACTGCTGTCTGCCAGCTTGGGATCAGTCTGTGAATGTTTAAAGGAATGCCTGCAGAGAGCAGGTCTTTCCCTGGGAATTAAAAATGGCATTTTTCCAAATGGTCAGAACCATTACAGTGATTTATTTCTCATTTATAGCCCATGAAGCCTGAGGCTCTTAGCTTTCATTGCTAGAACAATGCAACCAGGTTGGGGAACAGAACTTTTCCGAATTATTATATACTACATGGATTTTCCTACATTAATGAATGGCAGTGCAAAAAATTGCTGTGACTCTCAGGTGTTGCTCGCTATTCCTCTACTGCACCACAGAAGCTTACAGGGCTGCTAGCATCAACACAGCTGGCCCACCATCCTGCTTCACCTGCGGCTGCGCTGTTTTAACCTTTCCCTATTTATTAAAAACACTAAATCAGGAGCATTTGTATTTTTTAAAAGCCAAATGCTTGGCACAGCCCAACTGCGTATGAAGAGCTAGTGAAAGCAGCAGTCGTGCTGACAGTTTTTAGGTGGGCTTGAAGTTTTTCTTGTTCATTACCATTCTTTGAGAAAAAGAGGGAAGCGAGGAAGCCTTGGAATGAAAAAAAAAAAAGCAAGTAAAAAAAAAGCTGGGAAATGAAAAGGAAGGGAAAAGGAAGGTGTGAGAATAACTGGAGGAGAAAAAGGCCAGGGTAGGGGAGAGAGGAGAAGGGGGAGGGCTAGACAAAAGAGCGCGCTATTTGGGCTTGATTTCGTCCTGAAGCCACATCCTATATAACTGCTCTGAAAGAGGCTCTGAATGTAAGACGCGATCTGCTGATAGCACAACGCTAACTCTTTTTTATTATGCTGTCAGCAGATGCCCTTGGTCTATATTTATAGCCTAATTACTCCTAGTTACCTATGTTTGACTGTTTAATACTTTTCATGCCTCACATTGGCTAACAAGCTGCAGTTTAACACAACTTTGTATTTCTGAGGCTGCAGGCTAGACTGGTGAGAAGGAAACATGACTATGTACAGAAACAGTTAGGTTTATAAACAAGTAACTGGTACCAAAAAAATGGAGAAAGCACCAAAGCATTTCTCAAGCTGATAGAATATTAATTGCGTAACTCCCTTTTATGTAACTAAGTATAAAAGACATTTTAATAACTATAAAAATGAATAGCCAGAGTCTTTCAAGAACTGAGGAATCTTCCAGGCTTGAGTTACGGTTTCAAATGTCCTTAGCAGAGAGGATGCTTTGATACGGTACCACACTCCCCCAGCAGTTTCTGATCAACCACTTTTAAAGGATGGGGTTGATGTCTGTTCTGTGGCTGGCGAGCTGGGTGAGAGTGGAGCTTCCCACGACATCGCTGACAGAGGAAGAGGTTGTTATGGTGTTGTGCTGGATGACTTGCTGCTGGGAGCAAGCTGGGACCGGGCTTGCAGGAGGACTGCTCTCAGGACCTGGGAAGGGAATGAGGGCACAGAGACAACACACATTAATTTTTCCATCCGAGTAAAAAACCTAGGCTGAGTGATACTCTTGGAAATACTGACAACCTGAAGCATGCACAAGGCCCAGGATTTCAAAATTTAATTGCAGTTATCCAACACTGTCTGTCTTAAGATTGTTTTCATTTTCTTTTTTTTTTCCAAGCCAGCTTCTTCTTCTGTTATCAACCTGACTTCAGGAGTTGAGTCTTGAAAAAAGTCCAAGACCTTAATAACTGAAACTAATGTTGGGATAAAAAGTCTGATATCTTAAGGTCTTAAAAATCAGTTGGGATGCCTAAATGCTTTATTTGTTCCAGCAGGAATCAAAATTAGAGTGCAGTGCGCTGCAATACAGAAAATCTAATTCAAGCAACAGCTGATAGGCATGTAATGCAATTATGAGTTTTTTTCTTTGAGTTCTGTTAAAGAGACAGATGCATAGTGATGCAGAGGAGACAGAAATGGTCTCTATTTTAAGACAATGTCACAATCTAGCAAGCCCTGAGGCTCTTCTGAACTGTACTAAAATGAAACAGAGAATTTGTCTCTAAATTACTACACTCACAAAATGCGTCAACTAGAAAGAATTGATTAAATGTCTCTGTTAGCTGAGAATTTTTTGGAAGAAAAAAAAAGAAAGATGAGAGTTAAAAAAGAGTTAACAAACCTTGAAAACCTGCGCCAGGCCTGGTCTGTGCCACTGTCAGAGCACAGTACCATTTTCGCTGGAGGGGACTGTAAAGTTTTCCTTTTTAACTTTCCTTTTGAGAGTTATTTTAAGGTTCTGGCAGCGCCGTGTCCAGGAGGACTCTTGCAGGTTTGGAGCTGTGAGTTCAAGCAGGATCCTCCACAGGGGAGTGAGTGTCCATCCGTGTGCATCTCCTTGCCGAAAGGAGGGGTGGGGAAGACTAGCTCTGCTGTGTGGGATGCAAACCGGGGCTTTTTTGGTTTTGAGCGGGGCTGGATAAATAAGGGCAGGAGATTGGATGGCTTGGATGATGTTTGAGAAGACAGGTTCAAGTGATAGCATGACCAAGAAAGGGTTCTGGAGGGAAGAATTGGAAGGTTTGCTTTCCTGTGAGGAGTGTGGAGACAGCGCAAACATACCAGCTACTTACTTAGATATCCTTGTGATTCTTTCTGCATAGCTGTTATCGGACAGTCTTTATGTGTTAACAATAACTGTTTCAGCTGTGCTACCTCATTTTTCAGCATGGAAACCTCGTTCTAGAGAGGAAAGAGAGACTTTGGTTAGCAACAAAGCTTAAGCCACACTATTCCACAGATCTTTTACCCAAGAACACAAAACCTGCTCCATAACTTTGAAAGAACTGAGCAAAAAAGGCATTCAGGTACTTGTGTGCTGCGTTTATGTTAACATTTGTCAGTGACATTATTTATCCGTAACCTCTGAAGGCAGTCTGACAAATGAACTAAACTTCACAGCACCAGAGATACTTAAGCAATGTTTCAGTCTACTCAAGAAATACTGGGGCTCTCTGCATGAGGCCGGAGGCAGACCCGTGAGGGCAAAGGCTACGTTGCCATGCTCAAGGGCACGGTGGCAGAACTGCTGTCAACTACAGCTCGGCCACAGCCAGTGCCTGGGTGCTTCTCACACCTCTGAGGTTTGTGGGAGAATGTTCTGGAGGAGTGCCATTCTGCAAATGGTTTCCTGCCCTTGGCAGCACACAGGCACACCTCTGCATGAAGCAGAGGTACTGTGCCTACCATAAGAAGGACAGCACTGTAAAAAAAGGTTTTATTGTCATATTAATGGTATTTTCATCTATCCAGTTCATTTTTCTCACTGAGAGATTAATCAATTTTTGCTTCTATCTTGCTGGCTTTGAATGAGGGTTTAACTATATGCTCTGGTCTGAAGAAAATTTTTACAGACATATTAATGGCACTTCAAAAAAAATCCCCACGAAAAACAGTGACAAGGAAAGAAAATAAATACAACTCCATCTAGTGAAGGCTTCTAAATCCCAAGACAGCTTTTTCCTGGCTTATCCTGCTAAAATGTAATTATTTCTTTAATTGAAACACACACATCTTGATTAACAGACTGATTGTACTTGAGCTCCCACTAGGAGCTGACTGTGCGGGGGCAGCCCCAAGGCACCATCAGTCAAGCACAAAGAGCCCCTCTGTGTCTTCAGGGGCGCAGACAGTGGCTCGCACCTGAAGCTGCATGTTTGTCTGGGTGAGCTCTTCTGCTTTCTTTTCCAGTGACATCACCCAGACCTTCCTCTTCTGTCTGCAGCGCGTGGCAGCAGCTCGGTTCCTTTCCAGAAATTTCCGCCTCCTCTCATCTGGGTCTTCATCCACCACCCTCCTCCGGCGACCTCCAGTCGGCTGTGGTGGCTGTACCGTCTGCGTGGGCTGCATTTGCTGCGCCGCCGGCGAAACCTGCAGGGCAAGAAGACATTTTGCAGGGGGTGGCGAGGCAGGGAGGTTACAGAGGGGGATGCTGAAATGGGAAGGGGAATCTCACACACTCTGCCTGCTCTCCAGCAAGGTCTGCAACAGGCTCAAGTCAAAAGCTGCACCAGTGCCACTGAAAGCAGATGCTGGCAAATCATTGTCATGGTCGAAAAAAAGTTTTTTTTTAAATGATCATCTAAGTATTTTTTCTCCCTTGAGTTAATTCTTAAAAGCATTCACTTAGATGCATTCTCTGCCACCACCTATTTCAAATCTGAAATGTCCACTTTCTCTCAGGATCTGTTTCCATCAAAGCAGACTGTAGTGGTCTAAATTCTGTGCCTCTCTTTCTCCCCTTGTCCCCCAGTTGCCTCCAAAATTTTTGGTGATTTATATTTCCCAGGCTTCACCATCTCTGCCTCAGTCTCTGCCATCTCTGAAGTCTGGAAAGACTTTAGGTTGAACCTGTGTTTTGATGAATTGAGCTTGGACCTGTGTTTTGATGTCCCTGCACTACGTGGATAAGGGATATTCCTCTTACTAGTTTCCATTTGACCTCTGTGCTGTGGATGCTATACTTGTTTTTATTCAGTTTATCCCTGGGTTTGAGAGTATAGGAACACTACATCCAGTCCACTGCTACAAAACTATGGAAAAATAGATGTATTTATGCTTTTTCAAGTGCAGGGGACTATTGATCCTGCTCCTGAGAGTAACTGGCCCACAATATTACAGAAAAGATGCATGGTAGGGGCAATGCCATGTAAGCTATTCTCCACTTGACTCCTGGGCAGATGGAACATTCGCACGTCCCTGTCAGGAACCAGCGCCAGATTTAATGTTCAACTGCCTGGGAATACCTTCCCGCCTGTCTGTGGCACCCAGGCTGTGGGGCTCTGGAGACACCCTCTCTCTGTGTCTGCTTGGGATCTGGGAACCCAGTCCATGGATCCTATTGCTCACACTCAGCTCACATTGCTGCTGCCACTCCTGCACAGTCTGGAACCGTCTGGAAACTGGAATTGTTGACTCAAAATTAATCCTCTTGTTCTGGCAAATGCCCAAACCTCCAAGGTGCTTCCTTTTGACTCCAGGGAGTGGACGTACTTTGTCAGACAGAGCCCTGAATTTCAATTGCCGCAATTAACATGTTTGCCTAACACCTCTGTCTGTCTCAATTAAAATGATACTATCGTCTTGAGTCTTGTGAAGTTGAAGTGGCCTTTCTGTCTAGAATCTAGTTGGCTCCCTCCCCCAGCTGACTTGTGGCAATTACAGTGGCAATTTTATGTGTAATTATTCTGTACATCTGATAACACTTTTTGCATAAAGCCAAATTTATTCCCAGCTTTATGTTGCACTGTCAGGGAATCTCTCTCATAGGAGCAGAAAAAAAGTTTATGTAAGAATAACCTTCTAAAATAAATAAGCCACCCCACATCTTTTGACTGATGTTTAAAATTTCAGCTTGCATGAACTCCGTATGTTTGCTGATAAAATTTTCAACACTCTGTGCACACTTAGGGTTGGAGTGCCAGGTCCATGGCAGCTGCAGTGGGCACATCCCCCATTCTCACCAGCATCCCTTGCCTTCTGCCAGGAGACTGCTGCCAAGGGATTCCAGCTGCTCCCTTTCCACCAGGGTTGGGCATGTTGCCTCTTTAACAGTATGTCTGAGTGCAGAAGTACCTTTTAATGTCAACATCTCATCAAAGACCTTTCATTTTCCTACACATAACATCTTTCCAGACTTCTGTTATTTCTGTTTCCTTATCCGTTTTTGCTCCTTTTCCATTCAGCTTTAAAAATTCTTGTTTCTTTATCCTCTCAGCGAAGTCTGGTACAAAGGTAGAAAAAGGTAACTATACAATTTAAATTTTTTTTTTTTGTTAATTCCTCTCATATGGTCATTTTCTCCTGAATAACTAGTGAGTAATTTTGTTTTCAGAATATACCAGGCAGTCTCTGGGTAGTCAGAGTGCATTTTCAGAACAACAAAATCTTCTCTGCATCTCAGGAAGATGTTAATTATAAGAGCTGCCTTTATTCCACTAATAATGTCATGTGGGATAATTAACTGACTCTTACTTGATAGCTCTTAACCCTGAAAAATGTTAGACTATATCTTAGTAACCATCTAAGCATCGTTCTCTAGCAGGATTTCATTGCTCTGCCTAGGACATAAGAAAGAAAATGAACTAAATATAAAAATGTAGGTTAATTTTGGTGTTCTTAGAGAATGCTCATGACATATCCATCATGAATATAAACATAGGATAGCTAAGAGAATGAAATGGCATCCAAACTGCAACTCTGCTTGAGCTATCACTCTGCAAAGTTTGATATAAAGAAATCTTTAGAGGACCAATGCAGAATAACAGTATAATTTTTGTAGTTGTTGAGGCAGCATAGCTAGAACTTGGTAAAATATCTCTCTTTCTCAGAAAGATACCTATCAGAAGCTGATTTCTACTTTTATCCAGTATTTACTTCTGTTCTTTGCAATTTACCACAAAACTAATACTCATTCACTCATTCTATGAAAACATAATGCCTTGGGCTCCTGTGTATCAAAATGGTATCTGAAAAGCATGAAATTAATTCTAACATTACAGAAGGGCACGGTGCAGAATAACAACAGTCTCGGCATGGGAGTATGCAGCTTACAGCAGCATGGACCATGCTGTCATTTGGCAGCTGGTTTGGAATGGAAGAATCTGGCTCAGAAGAATAAGGAGGTTAATAATTAGAAAATCGCACCATAAAATTAACGTCTGTTGGAGAAATCTGATCCCCAAAGAGGCCATTACCACGGGGACTATGGATGAGCTTTGAAAGTAATAACTATGTGGTTATTACTTAGCAAGCCCTTCTTTTCCACCCTCCAATGCATCTGCTCAGAAATCACTATTGCCTTTGCACCAGAGGAACAGATGCACTGCAAGTGCTCTGCTGCCTGGGGAAGCCACTGACCCTGGGATTCCTACTCCATCACCCTCTGTCCAATCCCTTTGGTGACACTTACACCCGTGGACAAAGTGAAGATCTCCTTGAACTCCCATGGGGTCTGTTGCCTCTGGCGACAGACTGTGCATGGCAAAGCTCATCTGACTGCACAGACTGAGCTCCAGAGGCCATGTAGTACTGGGCAGAAAGTGACCCTGACACAGCTGTGTGTCTGCCAGTCAGTCCACCTGCCCATGTGCCTGTATCTCTTCTTGCCTGCCTGAGAGTCTTTTGTGGTGCTAGCTAGCAGGCAATACAAAGCACAAGAAGTTGAAGCTGTCCTAACTGTGTAAGAAAGTCAAGGTCTCTGTTCAAGTGGGCCTAGAGGAGGAGGCCATTAGATCTGTCCTCAAAACTCTGAGGTTTGTTTCCTCATGGTAGTTGTTTTCCCTAGTTTTCTCCTCATCTGATTAAAGCAGTGCTCCATACCATGGGATCTGATGCCCTCAACTGCATTAACATGTTTATCCTCCTAACCCCTCAGTGAAAGTTAAGTGACTCCCGCCATCTCATCCATGGAGTCCTCAATTGGCTAAGCCCAACTTTATCCTTACTCTCTCAGTGATCTCTAATACAGAAATCAGGTTACTTTTGGTTTCTCTGATATGAGATGATGGCTTTTAACTGGAGTTTTTAAACAACTCCAAGGAAAATAACTCATTAACAGATGAGAAAATAATTGAATTCACAAAGTAAAAACTGAAGTAAACTTAGGAAAGCTCTGGACATCCTCTCACAGGGGAGTCTGTTGCTCTTACTTAGACTGTTTCTCTAAAGCTGACAATTCATTTTACATTAGCAAATACTTTAGGGAAATCCCATGTGCTTGCAGATTCTGCAGCAATAAAGCTAGATGTTAGTAAATAGTTAATGCTGTGGGACACTGGGATGCCAGCCAAATACTCTCATTTTCTTTAATGTTTTCTAAGAGCCTGTCTTAGAAAAGGTATTTGCAAGCAACACAATACTTCACAGATTGAACTTCTTATGGCTGGCATTCCTCTTTGTCCTCACATTCCATGCACTGCCTGTTTGTCTTCCTTAACATCACTCTCCAGACCTGACATGTTACAGTAACTGCCCCCAGAGCTTTATTTTGTTGTGTGATCCTGATGCAGAAGCCTATAATCTGAAGACATTAATAGAATTCCTCTTAAAAATTACTCTGCTAAAGTTTGTGCTTAGTAGCTCATTAGTTCAAGAAACATTCAGTTCAGATAACAAATTATCCAAATTGCTGAAGCCGATATACCTGGTCCAAAAAATTGAGTCCTCCACCTCATTCAGTGGAGACCTTCACTGACTTGTCACATGAATACAAATCCAAACTGCTTTCTTTGTTTAAATCTCTCTCCTTGGACTGGCTTTACCCTCCTTTTTCTCCTACCACAACAAGCACCAACTACTGGCTGCACTCACAGCTAATCCTTCTCTCATACTATGTAGATATCTGTCCTCTTCACAGGGTCTGGATCATTTAATCTTTTCCAAGCCAATATATCCTAACTTAAACTACCTCTGTTATCTCCAGTCTTGAATACTGCCCCATGCCACATACACATAGCAGTGCCATTTCATTTCACTAAAGACTTTGTTATGTATTTCTGCAGGTAGAACTCATACAGCTTGTTAAATCTTGGCCTGAGAAGTTCAGGTTCAAGCACATTAAGCAACATATATAATATGCCAATCTCTGTAATAAACCTCATCCATAAAAGGATATGTGGCAATCTTCAGAGCTCAGAGCACTGCAAAGGCTTGGAGCTCCTTATAAAGTAAGAAATTACAAATATCTAGTAAATTAGGCAGCAAAACAAGTTGTTGCTTCACTCCATTTTCTAAATAAAGTTTGAGCACCCCCATCACCATTAGCAGACATTTACTAGCAGCCCGAGGGGCTTGTATCTAACAAGATATGCATGCAAGAAGAAACAATACTGAGATCAGGCTTTAAATCCACCCAACAGCAAAACTCAGAGATGCAGTAGCACATGATGTTCTACCTGTGCTTGTCCACCCGAGTGCAGCGGTGGGTGCGGTGAGGTCTGGTGGTGCGCCGGGTGTGCATGAAGGTGCGAGTGGGAGTGGTGGTGGGGATGGTTCTGCTGGTGATGAGGCTGAGGGTGAGGATGGTGTGCTGGATGCTGGTGCTGATGTGGGTATGAATGATGAGGTGGCAGTGTCTGGTGCTGATGAGGATGTGAGTGCATATGATGGTGCGGTGTCTGGTCCTGTCGCGAACTCATCATTTCCATCATGTGGCCCATGGTGTTCATATTCCCATTTGACATGGCGGCAGGATGATGAGTCAGTGCTGCCTTCAGTCTCTGGAACAGAACAAGGCAGAAAATTCAACATTCATACATGGTGATCTGACCAATCAGAAATGCTGTTGCAGAAATGGTGCCCCGTCTTGTGTTTTGAGATTTATTTAGTTTTTCTATTGCTGTTCCCTTACTAAAAAGCATCTTACTTCAGTTTGAAAAAGAATATATTCTTGGGCTCTAATCTTGTTTTCCACTGCAAATATTCAAAGATTAAAATGTCTGAATTGAAATTTAACAGGTTCACATTTCCTACTGTGCTTCTGAGGAAGAATAACTATCTCTCTGGCCAGTTCAGGAGAGTTACTTTCAACAAGCTTGTATTCTTACAGCTTTTAAATAAAAGTCTGATTAAAATAAAGACACAACAAAGTGCCCGTCTTGTTTTCACTTCAGATATTATTTTAAAAACTCATTGGAAAATATATTGCATTGATTTGTTTTTCAAATTCTGGTATACTAGTGTCCAATCTGTTATTTCATCGTAAAGATGGGAAAATAAGTGACCTCAACCTGATCCTCCTTTTCTGAAAAGTTCAAGTGTGTGTTGTCCTTTTATCACATGCTAACCTCTCTCTGTTTTGTACTCCACATATCACTGGATTGTGCCCTGGAATCTGACCAGGGCAAAACTTTCCTTAGTATCAGTGGGATTTGTTCACTTTTACCTGAACACACCTAAAGGCCAGTACGAAAGGTTGAAACATTTTGGACTGCACCATAGGGCCTTTGTGTACAAAGGATATTGCAGAAACAGAGAGTAAAAAAGTTCCCTTTCAGCACAATTACAGGGTCATCCCAAAGCCATGAGCTGTACCGGCATACAGACACCTTGCTGGTGTCATCTGACCCTTGGACTACTGAAATTGCTGGCCTCCGACAAGAGTGTGCCAAAGGTCAAGCCTCACAGATGCCAGCTAGAAGAGTTTCTTCCAAACCCATAGAAATCTCCTTCACATCCATGGTTCTGCTTCTTGCTCAACACACAACATTATCTACAGGCAGCCACCCAAGACCTCTCTAACTCTATATTGTCGAATAAGTAAATTGATTTACTCTCACTAATGCAAGTAATTAGCAGAAAATGTTAAGATAAAAAAGAAAGGAAGGAGGTGCATTGTATCACTTGATACCAGACCAGCACGATTTGAATTACTAATAACTACCTCATATCCAACCAGAGGCTAGAATGAATAGCAGAGAACTCATCTGTAGGATATGTCACCATGGGACAGTCAGTAAAAAAATGCAGTGGTAGGAGGCAGAGAGGTGAATTGTAGGAGGCACAGAGGCGAGCCTTTCCTCCTAGCAGTATCTATCTGTGGGTCACAGATGACTGTCAGAAGATACTATAAGCCAATGTGACAAAAATGCCAGCAGAGGAACAACGACTGGGTTTTGGTTCTGTCTTTAAAGCAAAAAGAGTAACTGCTAGGACTCTCAGAACCTATAGATGGGGATTGCAGTCTATTTTGTATTGAAATAACATCTGGCTATTGCAACACTGCAAGGCCACAGGTAAAGGCTTCTATATTCAAAGCTGTTACTGTATTGTGTTTGTACAACTGTTAGTAAGAAAGAACCAAATTCTTAAGCGGAAAAAAGTAAAAGCAAAGTAGAGGAAAACATAGAAGGTTGTGGAAGGCAAAAGAAGTAACATTCACTTCAAAGTATCGTCCTCAAGTTTTTCTATCCATGCACTTTTTCAGACTTTATGGAGGTCATTCTAGTGAGACTCTCTAATAGATCTATTAATCTAAATTTGGTGACTTCTTTCACTAATGATCAATTGGCTGACCAAGACTTAAAAAAAAAAAAAAAAAGGTATATTTTCAAAACACATAAAACACATCAGTATGTAAGTTTGCAAGAATGAAGTCTAGACTGATGTATTTTAAGAAGTTTCCTTTTAAAAGTCTATCAAACCATAACTGCATGGCATGTGTCCCATCCTGATGATCTTCTCAAAATTAGAGATCAAAGGTGTCTGTGCCAGTGAGGTTAAGTACCTCCTTCTATACCTCTGAAGTCAAAACAGAGAGCAACCTAATATCAATAGCAGTAACCCATCCTGGGCATCAAATGGAGGACTGGAGCAGCTGTTGCCCTTAGCTGTTCCTGAATTCAAGTGCTACCATGGTTACTTCAAGCGGCTCCTCACAATGCTTAGAATAACTGGTGTTACCCAGGAGTGTATTAGGAAAAATACAGGGGAAAACGCATTAATAAGTCAAATCTTTCTCCGTGTCATGTTTCTTCAAAACTCACTAAGATGTTTTTCATGGAGCTGAGCCACCATGCACGTCTAAGACAATGCACCAACAAAAGCTGTTGCAACTTTGTTTTCTGAATCTAAATGCAAAACAATCAAGCTCCCATTAGCCAGCAGTTTTATGTGACAAATACCTTACAAAATCTACCATGTCTATTTGTCAAAGACCTCTGAAACTGAACTACAGTATATCTTCTAAACTGCAGATTTTCAAAGCAAAAAAAAAAAAAAAAAAGAGGGAAAAACCTAATCTGTGAATAAACATTTTTTTTCAGCTGTAAAAACTGAAGCTTGCTAGTGTGGTGCAACTTCAAGGAGAATAAATTATTTTGTTTTCTTTCTGTAGCCCTTCTACCACATCCATTTATTTGAGATAACAAATCAAGAGAGACAGTGAGAGGTCTGACATGCAGCTGGTTTCAGTCAGTAGGGGTCATTTCCATTTGGTCTGTGTATTTTACAAGATCCTTGTTCAGTGTTCCAAATGGGAGGGTGGGCCAGCTGCCCTGGATCCCAGTCCTGGTAAGAAACCAGCTCTCTACATCATCCTGTCCCAGGGCATCAACAGCTATTGCCTCCCTTTAACTTCATGCTTGGGTCAGCTCTGCAGCAGTGAGAGTCCTGTCCATGTCCACATCTGGAGCAGCCTAAATCTTCTAATAACCAGTCACCGCTGCCAATCAGAAACATTCAGGGAATTATAAACATTTTTTTTTTCATTTGGTCTTCAGTGAAATCAATTGTTTTTGATGTTTCAGTTACAGCAGAGGGAGGCAAAATCACCAGAACTTGGTAAATTCTTTGCACTAAGTATGTGTAGCGCTGGAAGGGCAGGCTGCAGTTTTGTTATTGTTTCTTTCATGTCTGCTAATTGCAAGCAGCTGTTTTAGTTTAGTGTCAAATAAAATGTGATGGCATAAAAATTGAGCTTACTGGACTGACGACACCACCAAATCCCCTCTAGAATGAAAAGGTAACCCAAGATCCAATTCTGCGGCCATTCAGTTTTTTCAGGAGCTGTGTGACTGACGCCACCGAGCACACAGGGACCTGGGAGTTTGCAAATTGGGTCTGAATCAGAAGAATTGCTGCTCAGACCTGCTTTCACCTAAACCTGAAATATCAGCTAAGTTCATACCCATGATTTTTAGGGCAAACTTTTTCTCCCTTTTATAAGGCAAGAGGAAATGGAGGGAGATGGAGGTCCTCACCTTTCCTGACTTCTGGCCCTTACTGATTATTTTTATTACTCTATCAAAGTAACATAGTGGCCAGCATCAGTTGTAGCTGATTTCCACTCGGTCATGGCATTTCAATAAATGACTGTGAGTGACACAAACAAAAGAAATCCTTCACAGAGAACAGCCTGCTTTGCCTCTCATCAAGTGAATAAATAAAATAAAATCAGAAGCACATATACTGTCATCTTTGATGCTGAGGAGGAAAGGGAAACAGTGGGTATTGGCACTTCACAGGTATGAACGTTGTGTTCCCTGTACAGAACACGGAACTGCTCCTTGTGGCAATGGCCCTAACTGGGACATTTACTCTGAAGCGACCCCACTGAATGCCATATGAAGGTAACTCCTCAAAGAAGGTATCCTTGTACCTGGTGTATTGGAGGTTTTTTGGAAACAAGAGGGTTTCACAGTGCTTCTTCTATCTAAAGACTGACATCATGGTGCAGTTAATTGCTTGATGCTTCCTTCTGTCAACACAGATCCTAACTTATACATTGAGCATCTTTGGGCAACCCCCAAATCTGCCAAAAATAGCCTTCAAGCATTTGAGATCCTGAATGAAAAACAGTGTCAGCTTCCCTAACACTTCTGCTAGCTTTCTAATTTTCCTCAATTGTGACATGTATTTCAAAGTTGGCTTGGTTCTTGCCCTACCTTTCTTTCTCAAATATTGTTAATGAAAACCAGACAGCATTTTTTTTCAGTTTGTTACAAGAATAATAATTTAAAAAAAAAAAAATCAACCTGTAAATTTGGAGATTACTTTTCCCAAATTTAAAAATGAAAACAATTTGGTGGGCTTCACATGTATATTCAATACTTATAATTTTAATCAATATTTATAATATTTATATCACATTATAGTTAAAACAGGCTATATGTATTATATACCATAATCAGGATATGACTATAAAATAAAACTTTGTCCCATTCATCTCTCAATGCAAAAATGACAACAATCTTCTATTTTACAGGTGCTCTGTGCTTGCATCAAACAATAAGCTTTTACAACACCCAGATGCATTTTAGGTTGGGACAGACATGGAATGCTGGTTTTGAAAGGATTGAATTGTCCCAAATAAGTATGCATTGCTGCACACAGTAAAAAAGCTCTCTTCCCTTCTGGTCTGCATGCCCAAATCCCACTACATCAGAAAGAGACAAGACCAGCTGCAGTATCTAGTTAATGTCTGGTATATTCTTATGGGGAGATTATATCAGACCCTAGAAGGCACATGAAATATGATCTCAAAGATATTTTCTTGCACTAGTGACTGTGATTCTAGTCCCTATAATACAAGGGTTTAATAAGTTCCCCACAGGGGACAGAAGAATCTAGAGAGGGGTGGGAAATCAGAAAGGATTACAGACATCAAGGATCGCCACACATCTGCAGTTCAGTAGCAACCTCAAAGTAATGATCTTGATTAGCCAAATTTTATGGCAAGCATACCACTGACTTCAGTGTCACTAATATTGTTTTTTCATCT